TCCCTGGAGCTCTTAGCAGATGTGCCTTCCTTCCCCCTTGTGCACACGGAGACGGCACGTCCCCTGCCAGTGGTGGGAACTCTACTTCTCTGGAGCTCTTAGCAGATGTGCCTTCCTTGCCCCTTGTGCACACGGAGACAGCACATCCCCTACCAGTGGTGGGAACTGTACTTCCCTGGAGCTCTTAGCAGATGTGCCTTCCTTCCCCATTGTGTACACGGAGAGCTCTTGGATGCCCTGTACTTCCATACAAGTAGTTGATCCTGAAATTCATTCTTTTATTTCTCCCTCATGTGTGTAACCTCAGAGTATTGTTGGAAGAGTCATGTAGTTACCCTAGTCAGTAGCAGGGGTTTATTCTGGATCATAATAAATAGGAAGGCCCTACATCACATTTTGAAAGCACTTACCATGTAAGTTCTGCCTAAAAATCAGTGATCTCTTTGAGTCTTCAAAAACAAAAACAACAACAACAACAATCTGTCCTGTGGGTAACTGGCTAGCAAATGGTTTATTAAATATATTACTTGCCCTAATTTCTGTGGAGCCAGCCCTAACCAGTAACAGACCCCTGGTGGCCTCATTCAACCTTTCATCATGCCTGGTTACTCCAAAAAGTTCTAGAGTGGCAAATTTTTCTCAGGTCACGACTAGAATGGCCCACCTTGTTACTTTATGGATTCTTCATCCTTGTCCCATGTCCAGGCACATGATTAATGCCTATCTATGCCTTCTGTTTAAACCACAACACACTGTCAACCCTGTGTTCATTTCAACAGTTGGCTCAGCCCGGCCCCACGTCAACTTCTCCTTCTGTAAACTGCTGTGATTATGAAATTTCCCAACCATTTTTAATTAAAAGAAAGACAAAGGGAGTGGGGTCACGACTGAAGGGATGCAGCTGGTCACCTTGCACAACCAGACTCCTCCTAGCCCTGGGCAGCAGCACGGCTTGCCCTCCAATGTAGAAGAAGTCACAGCAGTCTGACCGGGCAGTAGCTTTTAAAAGCAATGAGTATACTTGTCCTCTTACAGTGTCCAGGCAAGAACTCTATTTATGTATCTGAAGTCAGCCTCTGTAGAGGCTGTCTGCACATATTTGGACATAATGAACTAGTCAGTGAATATTCATGAATCAGATTAGAATCAGAATCTGTTTTTTGGAATGTCTACATGAAATCCTTGATAGCTAGACAATGATCCTTTAGCCAAGGATGCTGATCAAGTGTAATATATGTACATGACTTCATTATAGCATTTTCTGCAGTATGTCATTATTCACTCATTCACTTCTTTAATATGGGCCAGGCACTCTTCCAGGTACAATGAGCAAAACCAAAATAAATAAGTAAGTTAAAAATCACTGTCTTCTTGGAACTTACTTTTTGGTGCTAATAGAGAGACAGTAAGCAATAGCTTAATAGATCAGCCAACTGTATACTGTAAGAGGATGGTAAGTGCTATCAGAAAACAGAACATCATAAGGGAAATTGGGATACTGAGGGTGAGTTGGGAACAGTGGAGGTGAAGTGTTGGAATTGTAGCAAGAGAAAACAGGTTGATTGGGGGAAGAGCATTCCAGGCAGAGGGAACGGCCAGTGCAAAATCCTCAAAGTAGGAGCATGTCTAGATTATTCCAGCGATAGGGGAATAGGCCCATGTGGCTGCAGCTACATCAGCACAGAGGAGAGTTCTAGAGGAGGCTGATAATCTGTTAGGAGTAGATCATATAGGGCCATATAAGCATTGAAAAGAATTGCTTGTACTCTGGGAGACAGGGCGAGCAACTGAAGATTTTGAGCCGAGGAATGACAGGATATAATCACATTTGTATTGGGCGCCTGGGTGGCTCAGTTGGTTAAGCGACTGCCTTCGGCTCAGGTCATGATCCTGGAGTCCCGGGATCGAGTCCCACATCGGGCTCCCTGCTCGGCGGGGAGTCTGCTTCTCCCTCTGACCCTCTTCCCTCTCGTGATCTCTATCTCTCATTCCCTCTATCTCTCATTCCTTCTCTCTCAAATAAATAAATAAAATCTTTAAAAAAAAATAATCACATTTGTATTTTCAAAGGAGCACTTTGGCTGTTAGGTGGACGAAGGGCACAGAGTCGATGCAGGAGGACTGGTTAGAAATTATTGCAGTAAGCCAAGGGAGAGATGCTGGTGGCTTGACCCCAAGTAGGAGACAGTGGAGGTGACAGTACATGGTCAAAATATGGATATTTTTTGAAGGTGGAATCATCATGATTTTTGATAGATTGAAATAGTATGTGAGAGAAAAAAAGAAGTCAGGGGTGACTCCAAGATTTCTACCTGAGCAGCTGAGAAGACGGAGCTGCCATGACCTGAGATGAGACAATTTGTTCCTTTTTTATCCATATGGCCGCTAGTGTCTTTTTTTTTAAGATTTTATTTATTTGAGAGAGAGAGAGAGAGAGAGACAACATGAGGGGAGGGGAGGGACAGAGGGTGAAGGAGAAGCAGACTCCTCACTGAGCAGGGAGCCCGATGCAGGGCTCATTCCCAGGACTCAGAGATCATGACCTGAGCTGAAGGCAGACACTTAACCAACTGAGCCACCCAGGCGCCCCATTGTCTTAAGGCCAGAGGCTGTGTCTTTATATCATCAGCTCTTGATATAAAGCCTACACATATATGTGCTAAGTAAATAATTGCTCAGCTGTTGAACAGCCACTGCTTATGTCCTCTTTACTGAGGATTTACTGTGTGCTTAGTGGGGGATGGGATTACCATGGAAATAAACAAAATCGTCCTTTCTTTGAAAGACCCACAGAGTCTTACTTAGAATCATTTACTCAGTGGCTGGATCAGCTTTTCCCTACCCTCTGTATTCCAAATGGGTGGTGACTTTATAAAAGAATTAACAGAGTTCTTGAAGGCCCTTTGCAAAATTATTTTTTGGGAATCCCACATTTCGCACTCCACCACTGAGAAAAATAGGTCAGGCATTTTTCTGCGTGCCCTGGGTTATAAATTTGAACATGTGGCTGTCACTATGGTCTTACTACTTCCTAATTAAATCCAGCAGCATTGCATGCAACCTCCTTTATTAATTAATTTCCTGAAAGCTGAAAGCCATGCTGACCTGCTTCTTTCTTCTCCTTGAAAGGGAGAAGGATTCTCCTCTCTTCTGCTCCTTCTTGGAAAAATCTCTTTCCAAGTAGGGGCCTCAGTTCAGTTCAACTCCCTCAACCAGGCCAGGCACCTGAATTGGGCAGGGCCTCCTGATAAGCTTTTATTCCTCACGGGAGGTTTCTTAATCTCCTTGGAAAGAATGAAAGCAAAATTAAAGAAGATTTGTCATCTGGGAGAGGCAGTCTGGGGTAGTCACGGCCCTTTAGTGGACTGTTATGGTAAAGTCACCTGTTGGCAAAAGAACAGCTCTCTGGAAGCAAATGCAGAGAGTGCCAGTCACAGTTCACTGAGTGTGAAGGTCGCCTCAGGGCCTTTGAGCCTTACAGTGGTTTCTTAACAAGTGAGGAAGAATATGACATCATCAAATCCGAGGTGTGTAAACATTTACTTTTGGCCTGAAAGAGCTGCAGCAAATGCTGTAAGAGGGTTTTTCACACCCACAGCTGTTCCGTTGCTAAGGCATCTTCATCCTTGTCCGTCCCCATTTTTTTAAAGGCCAGTCAAGCCACAGTCTTTCTGCATGTGCTGGTGAGGGAGCAATTTCCAGGAGAGAAGGCCTTTGTAGCAACGCAGCTCTGATGGGTGAAATGGGGGCGGGGGGAACCAACCCAGGAAATTAGCTCCCCTAATCGCATTAGTGGAAGGTTGGGCAGTAGACTGTCTTTTGCAGGAAACTATTTGTTTCACAAGGTATCGAAGCAGAAAGCCTCCCTGTCAAAGGCCATCCTTTCACACAGGCCTCCCTCCTGTTGGGTTAAAGCCAAGTTGCACCCAGAGCCACCATGTTCATGTTTCTTTAGGAGAAAAAAGATCCATTTCTGTGATACTTCTTTGTCTCCAGTACACTTAGCTCTTGATTAATTGTGGCAATGGGAAGACAGGAGTCCATTCAGTTTGGGATAAATCACGAAGTTCATTTCCCCTGATGACCCCTTTCTCTTTCCCTCCTGACCATCTACTGGGAGAGGAAGCATGCAGAGAAGGCTAAAATGCCCCTCGTTGGCATAAGCCCGAGAGGAAGCCAGGAGACGTTGGAAAGGAGCCTCAGAATTAACCTACAACAGACGATTGCCCTTTGAATGCGCACAAAACTGGGTTATCACTTAATTTACAGGGCAAGTCTTGTGACATCTCATTTCCCCCATTTTGGTGAAATGTCAGCTGGGTAGTTAGCATACGACCTCACTTGAAAGAAGTGGGTGATTGTGTTGGCAGCACGTCCGGCTGTCACCATGTAAGCGACCCACATTAGAAGGCAGCCCCAGGATGTCTGAGGGGCCACCGAAACAAACTCGCCTCCAGTCAGTGACCCATTGAAAGTCCTGCTTCTCACATGGCTGGTGGGTCTCACGCAATAGCGGCGGTAGGGGAAACAAGGTCGTCAGAGCTTTACACTGACAGGGAAACAGTTATTTGGCTGGAAGCACTCTGTTCTCCTTGTCGTAAATGTCAGGTCCAATCAATCACTCCTTCTTTCAGTGTCACTGATTGAGCACCTACTATGGGCCAGGATCTTTCTTGGGGTTACAAAAGTGCATTTTCAAATGGTCGCTTTCCTAAAGAGGCTCACGTAGTCTAGAAAAACAAATGATTTAAATTGTTAAAAATCTTGAGCTAAACAAATTTGATTTCAACTTGCACATAAGAGAAAGCATGCATGAATTCAGTCACTCATTGAACAGGTACTTGTTGACCTCGTTCATAGAAAACTTTAGTGGTTAACAGGCTCTGGAGACAGACTTTCCGTGAGTGGAAGCCATCTGGCCTTGGGAGAGTATTTTAATAATATTTAAGTCATGCCTTGCTCATCCCTAAATTAGACGGCTGTAAAGGTGTGGCAAAGAGACAGTGCATATGAAGACATCATGAGCTGCCAGCAGCCACGGCCCATATGGACTGTCTTGTTTAATGTTCATAATAATCCAGTCAGAAACTCGTTACCTAGAGAAAGGAACTGGGGCTGAGAGAGGTTCCATAACTTACCCAAGGTCACATAAACTTGTCAGCAGGTGGGAAGAGTTGGAATCGTTATTTGTCTGACTTCAGACCCTACGCCCTTAATCACTTCACTTTCCTGCCTCACTGTAGGAAAAGGTATGGCTGGCGTGGCAATACAAATGACTGGGGATTGAGGTTTATTGGTGGCAGTGAATGGGATGGCTGGGAAGATCACGCGAAGGAGTTTGAAGGCAGTTGTATAGGTGCGGGGTGGCCATCAAAGGATTTTGAGTTAAGAAGCAGCAGCTAAGATTTTGGAGGGTTTGTTTTTGTTTTGTTTTGTTTTGTTTTTTGGAGGGTTTGTTTTTAAAAGCTTTTTCCCCGCCTCCACATTCTTCCCAACCATTTCAAGTGAAGGCTTCTCATTCTTCCCTCAAGACCAAAATGGAGCTTACGTGAGTGGCTATGAGTGAAGTGTTGGATTAGGGACAGAATTCAGTGCCCTTAGTTACTGATCCTAGAAAGAGTAGTACTTCCATCAGTATAGTGTCCAAATGAGTGAGCTCTGTGAGGTGGCCATGTCCAAGAAAACAAGAACCCTACTGCTACTGAGCCACTAAGAGTATTCAAAGCTTCCTCAGCCCTCAGTCATCTCCGCATAAGGGGACAATACCGACTTTCCCTAAATCCTCCAAACCTCTTCTGGCCTGCCTCATAAGAGACAGGATATCACCTGCATCGGTGAAAGACAGGTTAGGATCTGGCACACGCCTCAGGCATCTTGGCTCCCCGTCCCACAACCAAAACCAATATCACTTAACATGATGCTGAGGCATGATGCCGCCAACGACGTATGCTCTGCGTAGGTTCTCGAGCAGCTAGGACCAGTTGGTTGACATTGGCACCTGGGATGACACCTGTTTGCTACTTGAGTTAAGTTTTCACATTCCTTTTAATTCACTTAAATACGTGGCCTGTGCATTTCAGGGTTCCCTCCCTCCTGAGATTTGCTAATTGTGAGCAACTTACAAAAGGTAAGAGGGCCTTTTTCTGATACTTCAGGGCCCAAATGTTTATTTAATAGCTCTGATTTATTGAGTTCTTGTTCATGTCAAGCCCAATACTCAGGAGGATTCATTCATCAAGGAGCAGTAGTACTGAAAAAAACTAAGTGGTACTCACAATAAAACCAAAATTTTATAATAAATACAAGGGGGGAAAGATATGATTAGGATTTTATCTGGAGAAATTAATCAAAAAGCATGAAAATAGATTGTTTCTTCTTATAATAAACAAAATTACATTTTCACGTCAACCATGCACGGGTTTTTAGATTATAGGATAATGCAATTGATAAATATTCTCACCTGAGTTTTCCAGTTAAATTATGTGATAGCACAGTAGCGCCTTCTTTGCTTAAAGTTGGAATTTAACAATAAAACCTGAAAAGGAGTCATTTTTATGAAAGCTTTCTGGGGCTTTATTCACTTTCTTAATAGTCTCCCTTGACACTTAGGTAAAGAAATCATTTCTTCTGAAGTAGCTGTTATTATAGCTTCTCAGTCCACTTTATTTACATTTCATAAGTTTGTAACTGGTCTAATTTCATCAAGTTCTCAGTTGGCCAATATTTTGATGCTTGACTCCAGTAGTTCTCTAACATGAGCTTTTCTGATTGTTTCATCTTTTTCAAGATCTGTAGTAGATTCATTCATTTTTCTAAAATAAAAAAGTATGTATTGATCAGGTGCCATGTGCTCTTTTTGAAGCCGAGGCATAGCAGTGAATAAAAGGGTCCAAAAACCCTTGCCCTCATGGGGCTTACATTCTTGGTTGGGGAGAGAGAGCATAGACAAAGTGTTATGGAGGGAAATTAAGGTGGGAAACGGGATGGCAAGTATGGAATCTGTGCTGGTAGTAGGAGGGGGTTGCAGTTTTAAAGAGAATGGTCTGGGAAGGTGTATTAATTATTTTTTACTGTATAACAAATTATCTCAAGACATAATGGCTTAGAGTAACAAATGTGTACTATATTCCAGTGTCTGTATGTCAGGAAATTGAGAACAGCATAACTGGGTGTTTCTGGCTTGAAATCTCTAGCAAGTGGCAGTTAAGACTTCATTTAGGGCTGTGATCACATCTAAAAGCTTGATTGGGGCTGGCGGGTCCACTTCCCAAATGCCTCATTCAGATGCTGTTGGCAGAGGCTTTATTCCTTTACAGGAAGCCTCTCAGCAGGGGCTGCTTGGGTAACCTCACAATATGGCAGCTCAGCTGGCTTCTCCCAAAGCCAGAGAGAGAGCAAGGTAGAGCCACAATGCCTGAGACCTGGCCTTGGAAGTCACACTCTTGTCATTTCCTCAAAATCCTAGCGATTACATAGTTAGTATTCCAGGTGGGAGAGGACAACACAGGATGTGATATCAAGAGGCAAGGGCCATTGGGGCCATCTTGGAGGCTGGTTTCTACACTAGGCCTCACTGAAAGGGTGACATTTAAGCATTATGTTGGCCATGGAGTTTCAGATTCCAATATCTGTCCAAAGAAGACTAACAAAGATTCAATAGGCTCAACTAATCCTAACATAAAATAGGGATGTTTGCATGGAAATCAATTTTGTAAATGTTCAGTTCATTAGTACATATTTTCAAATCATAGGGCCACTGCTTCTATCTGTAATACTGTAATGTGGGGCTTGTATATCATACCCCACACTAATTAGAACGCTTATATTTCATTAATATAATTACAAGGGTGGGTGTTTTTATCTCCATTTTAGAGATGAGGAAATGGAGACAGGGAGAGGGAAAATGAGGTCCCAAGGCCACATAGCTGGCAAGTGGCAAAACTAGGATTTGAGTCCATCCTGTCTGACTGAAAAATAGGTATTCTTTGCCCTCCTGACTCTCTGCCTTTCAGAGTGCTGTTTCGTATTTCAGGCAGCAAGTTATTGGCAGCAAATCAGTGAATACTCTTTTCTCATCTACAGCTTTATCAAGCAGTAAAGGTGAATTCTTGCTAAATGGAGACTTCGTTGTCACAATGTCCAAAAGGGAAATCCGCGTTGGGAACGCTGTGATAGAGTATAGTGGGTCTGACAATGTAGTAGAAAGGATTAACTCCACAGACCGCATTGAACAAGAACTTTTGCTTCAGGTAAAAACTTGACCATGAGCCCATGACCCTTTCCTTCCATGTGGGGTCACCAGACCTGCAAACATCTTCTCCATTTTGTCTGCTCATCCTAGGTGTTGTCGGTGGGAAAGTTATACAACCCCGATGTGCGCTATTCTTTCAATATTCCAATTGAAGACAAACCCCAGCAGTTTTACTGGAATAGTCATGGGCCCTGGCAAGCATGCAGCAAACCCTGCCAAGGTATTTACTTTTCAGTTGAGTTTTGGGGATTTGAGATACTTTTATTTTAATTCTTTTTATTTGTCTTTGGAAGCAGCCAAATGCATGCAATCTTTAAACCTTTCTATCTGCATGAATTCTCCGATCTCCTTTCTCTGCTTCTTTCTGGTTATTTTCGGACGGCAAGTTGAACTTTTCAAGGGATTCAGGATATGTTGGGTTTCCTCTGCCTAAGAGATTCATATGCATGTGTGAAGCCAAGCAAAATCAGCTCTGCCACTTTGATTTTCCAGAGACATAGATATAGTAGTCGTATTATGTATCATTTATCTCATGTCCTTTTGCCTTAATTAGGAGCCAGCAAATTATAGCCAGTGGGCCAAATCCAGCCTGCTACCTGGCTTTTATAAATAAAGTTTTATTGGAACACAGCTATACCCTTTTTACATATTATTTATGAGCATCTGCTCTTGCCCTATCATGGCAGAGTTGAAAAGTTGTGACAGAAGTCATATGGCCCACAAAACCAAAAATAGTTGCTATTTAACCCAGTACAGAAAATGTTTGCCAGTCCCTAGTTTCTGGAATAAGTTACTTTCTCTAAGGTTTTTTTCCTCCTTGCCTAGGGGAGCGGAAGCGAAAACCTGTTTGCACCCGGGAATCGGATCAGCTTACGGTGTCTGATCAAAGATGTGACCGGCTGCCCCAGCCAGCGCCCATTACCGAACCTTGCAGCACAGACTGCGACCTGAGGTGAGGCCAGTGCATGTTCATGGTCTTTACTCTGAGCTGTGAGGGTCTTGCTGGAGGGAGGAACAGAAGGAGGAGACAGTGGTCTTTAGTTCCCCTTCCTTGCGTTTCTGTGAAATAAGCTTCAGCCAATTTTCCATCCTTCTGAAACCAATTATCCAAGATATATGCCTGTGGATTTCTTGTTCTTCTCCTAAGAATTAAAAATAGCTAATAGAGTATGGCATTTGCCAAAAGAAGTTCTCATTTCACCCTCACAAGTCAGTGCTAGGTATTGTTAGGATTGAGTCACATCTTATGTAAATGTTTGGTACGAATATCAACAGAAAATGGGGAAATGTCATCTGTCAAGGTACCTGTATGTTGTTCTCTATACACCCAGAGTGTATACCCCCCAGCAGAAGAAATCTTATGCATATGAAAGTTGCAGTGCCCTAATGTAAAGTCATGGAAGGAACTAGAAGAAAATCTTTATGCAGATGTCTAGATACAGAAAATACTCTGTATTTAGGAAAAGTCTGAATCTGAGGCAAGAAATGGTGAGTGGGTTCAGAATTCTAAAGCTTTCCCATTTACCTGCAAGGTTGGCTGTGTCATGTTTGAATATTAAATAGCTTGCACATTGCTTTGTATACTCTGAATGTCAGTTAAGTGCAGGTAACATGAGTTGATGCTTTAATTCACCTTTTATGGAAGAGAAATCAGCAGTGTAGAGTGGTGTGGGAAATTGTTAGGATCTTACCATTTGTAAGTGGCAAAATGAATACTTAAGCAGTTCGCAAGTTCCACTTCACAATGCTAAATCTTATCCAATGGTACTGACAGCCTAGAGTGCTGGAGTGAAGATTGTAAGGCCCTCTCTAGGCTCTAAGAGAAAAGAGGAGTGCTGGGATCAATTAGTAATGTCTGTCATGCGAGTAGGTCGGGGAGACATGGCATGAGGGCCATCTTTGCCAGACCTGACCTGATGGCTCTGACTTCAAAGCCCAGCCCCACTGTACTTCATGTCTACCCAGCACCTCTGACCTGTTTGTTCATGGGCTTGTCACAAAGCATTGATAAGTCATTGAGGAAGAAACAAACCCAAGACATTGAAAGGCGGACTATACAGTATTAATTTTTTTATAGGTAACTACTGTACTTATAAACCCATTGCTTCAGCCAGTTGAGTTAATTTAGTTAAATTAGAGTTAAGGTCTTTTCAGAAAAATAATTAGTTATCTGATTGCTGAACTGAATTACTCACAAAAAAACCTGACAGTCACTGTCATTGTGGTTCATACTAATTGTTGCTGAATAGCTATGAACAACACTGAAAGACTGGAGAGAGGATTGTTACTGATGGATCAAACTCTAAATAATTTTCCCAAAGCATGTCTATGGAACACGAGTTCCACAAGATGATTCGTGGTGAACTAGTATGTTTGAGAAGTCTTCCCACTTCTCTCCTCCCCTGTATAGACATGCATTGTATCGATTAACATTTGGAAGGCCCAGAGAAGTTCTGAAATATAGAAACCTGCTTAAATCAGTAGTGCCCAAATTTATTCCTAGTATTATTTACTCCCACAATGCCCCACCCACCCACAGAGGCATACACATTTCTTGTTTCCGCTTATAACAAATACTTTGCTTCTCTGAAATATAGTAATAAAATGCATTGTCGCATGAAAGGAACCAAATGAATTCAAAACCCTGGAGTTGAGACCCCCTTCCAGGGAGAGAATATGAAGCAGACGACAATAGCATTTTGAGAAGAACTTTCCTAAGGCAACGCTGTGACATTTCCATAGACTCTTCCAGGTTCTCTGCTCAAATTCTGAGGATTGTGTGAATATCAGGGAGACTCTGTTCCACTTGATCTGCTGGTGTGTTTTCCTGTGGGTGCAGGACCCCTGCCTCCCTTACCCAGGATGGATAAGCTTTCCACGAGAAAATGATGATGAAGGCAAAAAGAAGGTAGCCAAGAATCAAAGAGCAGATGAAAGTTCCAGATGCCTTTGTGGAATTGGACCACATTTTTGCCTTGCTTCCTCAGGGAAGTGAGAGTTTGCCCAGATTAAACTTTGACAGGATGAGATAAAGCATTGTTTTACAGTCCTTCATTTAACGTGTTCCGGTTAGAACAAAATCCCAAAATACTGTGTCACTTTAATGGAAAATCGCAGTAGCCCACTCTGCATGCCGAACGTAAAAGGTGGTCAACTCTGACCTACTTTTAAGCATTTGTGAGAAACTCCAAGATAAGCATGTGGCCAGTACTCCTTATTGTTTCCCAGTCCTGCCCCTGGACAGATGTGGATGGAAGAATTCTTAGGGCATCTGTATTCGGCAAACTACCCAATTTCTGAGAAGTTGACAGTTAACAAGAGTTAATTCAAATGAAGGTTATGAAGAAATTATCCTTTTTCGATTGTTAAATTGAATCGACAACCTACATTTTAAGCTTATTTATTTATACTGTTCTATTCAGTTTAAAATTTTTGTGTTTTAATTTGAGCACTGACCATATTTTGGGGGCATTGAAAGAATAAGTCCCACTTTGTGCATAGATGCTGATAATGGGGAGGCTATGCATGTGTGGGGACTGGGGCATATGGGAAGTCTCTGTACCTTCCTCTCAGTTTTGGCACGGGCCTAAAACTGCTCTAAAAAAATTAAGTCTTTAAAAAAAATTGTCTAATCAAACTGTATAGACTGTGGCCCATGTTTAAAAGGAACTCAGTCTTTATTCACAAAGTTTGGCACACTTGAAATTCGCAGTTACAGGCCAATTATCCATTCCTTTATTAAGTCACAGTCTGTTCACTGAACACGTTTTAGCATGGCGCATATAAAGGAGGTTTTCTACGGAGAATTTCCAGCGGTGGTTCTCTATCAGAAGCAGCCTTCTTGAGAAATGAAATGCTGAGTTGCGTGAACCTTTTAAATATAAAATTGCTTTTTTTGCTCTGTTGAATTCCAATGTTTTCTTCTTTTTGGTTGCTTGAATTTCAGATTGACTGTATCAGGGGAGAATCTTCACAAAGATAGGACCTCTGACTATCACTCTGTGACTTCCATGTACATTGGCAGCCATGGAAAATACATGACTATGTTGGTTTAAAATTGGATTTCAGTAACTGACTGTGGCCTTGGATTTTGTGGTATTTGGGTTAAGGAAGAAAAAAGAACTCCATTCTTCTACCAGTTGAAAATAGATAGGACATACATATTTAACAGAAATGTTGGTTTCTCCCCATTATTTATGCATAGGTGGCACGTTACCAGCAGGAGTGAATGTAGTGCCCAGTGTGGCTTGGGTTACCGCACATTAGACATCTACTGTGCCAAATATAGCAGGCTAGATGGGAAGACCGAGAAGGTTGATGACAGTTTTTGCAGTGGTCACCCCAAACCAAGCAACCGGGAAAAATGCTCAGGAGAATGTAACACAGGTGGCTGGCGCTATTCTGCATGGACTGAAGTAAGTTGGTTCTCGCTCAGTGAGAATCTTCTTCTTGGATGCTAAGTCTGATTAGTTGATGGTGGCTAATCAACGAGTTGATCAGTTAGGGCTGCATTGAGAAACACTATTTAGACTGTATGGAAAAGAGTTCCATGATGGATTTACAATGCCTCACCTCATTCTGCAGAAAAGAGTGCCATGATCAATTTGGAATGTCTGATTATATGACACTGAACATGGCATGTGGAAAATTGAGAGTGGTGGGACAACTCATCCAATCCCTTTCTCCATACCCCACAAGCCATTTCCAATTTTATTTTCTTATGCTTATTCACTAATACTGACTTTAGTATAAACCTGGTGAATAAATGGATAGTGTGAACAGATACTCCCCAAATCACAACTAGAATTGGATTGATTGGGTGGTTGTTTTTTTTTTTTTTAAAGATTTTATTTATTTATTTGAGAGAGAGAATGAGAGACAGAGAGCACGAGAGGGAAGAGGGTCAGAGGGAGAAGCAGACTCCCCGCTGAGCAGGGAGCCCGATGTGGGACTCGATCCCAGGACTCCAGGATCATGACCTGAGCCGAAGGCAGTCGCTTAACCAACTGAGCCACCCAGGCGCCCTGGGTGGTTGTTTCTTAAGGGCTGAAAGAGACAAGGCAGCGTAGCCAGGACCTTGACCATGCTAGAGAAGAAACTTAAAACAGTTTTACTCAGCATATTTTCCTTTCAGTGTTCGAAAAGCTGTGATGGTGGAAGCCAGAGGAGAAGGGCTATTTGTGTCAACACTCGCAATGATGTCCTGGATGACAGCAAATGCACACATCAAGAGAAAGTCACCGTTCAGAGATGCAATGAGTTCCCTTGTCCACAGTGGAAAACAGCAGACTGGTCAGAGGTGAGATAAGAGGGCTCTTATTTCCCCTAGGTCGTCTCTGATACCCTAATTCTGAGTCTCTCCAGCTCTCTTCAAGTCTACACCTGCAGCACTCATACCTCCTCCGCTGGATGAAGTAACCGAGGTGCTCAGTCTGCCCCAGGACTGTTGTGCAGGGCATGACTGGTCCACCGGTGACCCCGGAGGCACGGTGGGTTTGGCTGGATCACCCACTCCGATCGCTTCTGTTGGTGATTTCCTATCTCTCCCCATTCCTCCTCTTTGAGCCCCCACTAAGTCATTGTAAAGGAAAATAAGGGCTTTATTAATTTCAAAGCTGTGCTGGCTTAGAACTGAAGCTAAAGGAAAAAAAAAAAAAGAGGTTTCCTATTTTCTTGTCTGTGAGATAAGAGAATTAGACCCCCAGTAAGTGGCCTGACTTACCCATCCAGTTGCTAATGGAAACCTTAGAAAAGAAAGGACTAGTTGAGTGTTCCAGACTTTTGCCTCTCTCCTTCCTTACCTGATGAAGCCTAAAGCAAACCCTCATTGCTTAGCACAGATGGCCCCAGGACAGCAAGAGAAAGGAGGTGGAGCCTCTTTCTCACTCCTATGGTGCAGGGTTAGCTGTCACTATTAAGCCAGCCCAGTGAGATTCTCACCGCGCAGGTAGGTGACTGCCTCAGCCTTCCTTCACCGGGGCGGGGCGAGTGGGAGGGGACAGAAGTTGCCTGACTGACGGGCCAAGTCAGGAATGCAGGGAGAGAGGTGTTTGTTTCTCTGCTACAGTTTCTGCGCCCGCCCGTTTCCTTATCTCAACTCTGTAAACACAGTGTTAACTGTTTACTTGCAACAGCAAATACAATACGGATCCTAAAAGGGTATTATTAATGCCCCTGAAATGGCAGACAAGCAAGTGCCTGTGACTAACAGTGTCTCATTCCCACACAAGTGCACAACAAACCTACTGGGTTTGTTCTGTCAGCAAGTTGCCTTAGCTTCAAAGCTAGTGTTTGGGGTTTAAAAAAAGACAAAAGAAGGTCATGGGCTAGAGTTTTACCTCGATAGCTAAGAATAGCTAAAGTATCATTTCGAATCAAGTAACAAACCTTTGCAAGAAGACTTCCTAAAATGGAGGTGGGGGGACACCAAACTGTATATTCAGGATGATCCAACATTCCTTAGCTTAAAAAACTGAGAAGAAAACAGCAAAATGTTAATAATGAGGATCCTTGGGTAGTGAGATTTTTTTTAATTATTATAGTTTTCTCTTTTCTGTATTTTTCAAATTTTCTACAATGAGCGTGGATAATGATGATGATATTTAACATGTATTAAATGAACATATGCTCAGCACGTTACTTGGATTTTTTTTCATTCAGTTTTCACAACTCTGCAGTAGACACTATTGTTGTCCCCTTTGTACAGATGAGAAAACAGAGGTACGAAACCGTCACTTGACTTAGTATCCGTAGCTGGTTGTATTGGGATTAAAACCCACATTGGACTGACTCATAAATTCCCCACATTTAACTCCTATGCTAGAAAATCATGGATGTTGTTTTATAATACAGACTGGCCCTGACTTACAGTGGTTCAACTTAACAATTTTTTTTACTTCAAAACGATGTGAAAGCAATTTACATTTAGTGGATATCGTACTTTGAATTTTGAATTTGGATCTTTTCCCAGGCTGGTGATAGGTGGTACATACTCTCTTGTGATGCTGGGCAGTCAGCCCTGCGATCGAAATCACGTGAGGGTCAACAACCGATACACTTACAACCGTTCTGTACCCACACGACAGTTTTGCTTTTCACTTTCAGTACAGAATGCAGTAAATTACATGAGATAGTCAACACTCTATTATAAACTAGGCTTTGTGTTGGACGATTTTGCCCAACTGTAGGCTAATGTGAGTGTTCTGTGCACGTTTAAGGTGGCCTAGCCTCTGCTATGCTGTTCGGTTGGGGAGGTGTATTAAGTGCATTTTCGACTTGGGAGATTTTCAACTTACACTGGGTTTACCTGGATATAACCCCATCATAAGTCAGGGGAGATCTGTATCTCATGGCGTCGTGCCATGCTGAGTTTATTCTGGGCTTGACACGGTCCCAGAGCCTTTATAAATATAGAATGAGTGAGGGAAAGGAAGGAAGGGAGAGAGGGAGGGAGGGAGGGAGGGAGGGAGGAAGGGAGGGAGGGAGGGAGGAAGGAAGGAAGGGAGGAAGGGAGGGAGGGAGGAAGGGAAGAAAAATGAGCCTTGATATATTTACAAATTGCTATGAGAGAGAGGAACGACTGTGGGAAGAGAGCACACCTGTTCCTGCTAATCCATGAATAATCCCTGGGAACCACAACACGTTGTTCAGAAACACCCCTGATTGGCTGTGCTCTTTATTACAGTGCCTGGTCACCTGCGGAAAAGGGCATAAGCATCGCCAGGTCTGGTGTCAGTTTGGTGAAGATCGATTAAATGATAGAATCTGTGACCCTGCGAGCAAGCCAGCCTCCATGCAGACTTGTCAGCAGCCAGAATGTGCGTCCTGGCAGGCGGGTCCCTGGGGACAGGTATTTTGAACGATAAAGTTCTTAACTACATTCTTTCCTTCTTATCTGGAGAGGGCTTGCAGAGGGGCATTCCAGTGGTGGGGATTTAACTGCTGCGTCTTGTGACTTGCACTATACCTCCATGGCGCTGGATGGAGCACAGGAAACTGCAACCATTTTGCCCCTGAGGATTCCAGCTTGCCCTCCGGGAGCTGATCATTCCCTTTGCAGACACACAGGCAGCTCCTCGCCCTGGAGTTAAAACGGTAGCTTGAGCACACGTGCGGTTTGAACAAACTCACAACAGATCTCGTGTCTGGCTGATGTTATCTTCTAGTGTGCTGCTGTGGGGGGTCATTACAGAATGGGGTCCAGAACCTTTGGCCAGGGCGTCTGGACTGGGATTTGGGAGGGAGGTTTAGGATCCCCACATCATGGCTCCAAAGCTCACCTCTCATAAATAAGTCAGACCCTTCCCACAGAAGTAATTTGATCAAAAGTTGCAGGATCGTTTCACTTTGAAAAACTCTTTTTCCGAGTCCCCTAGTCTGGAAGTCCCACAGTCTTAACCTGAGCTATTCTTAAAGGAGAGAGTGAAAGTCTCCCTTGGGCTCCCATTTGAGAAGCCACTACTCTGGGAATTAAGTCCACCCTAATATAGAAGCAAACATGTCCTGGGTACTATATAAGCAGCCCTCCGAGTTCCCAAGAGAAGCAAAGCAGCGTCTGCCATCACTTACAGGATCTCTTGAAGAATAACTCTCCCCCCACCTTGCCCAGCTACAGCAACTCTTCTAGTGTATGTCTTTATTTCCAGGATGCCATGCAATAAATGGGAGCAGCTTTATCCCTGCACCCTTACAATTTCTATCAAACTGACGCTCTTCTGAACCCTCCCATCCACAGGTATAATGGCTGAGCGTGTCTGATGGCACTAAACAGGGTGAATCTCTTACCCTTCCAGCCTCCTTTTTGTCTGCATCTGCATAACTCTCAGGGAATAAGAGAAAGAGAAAGAGAGAAAGAGAACCCAGCTCAGAATCGCTATGAAGCTTTGAGTGTAACATCTTTTATAACTGATGGGCCTATTTTTTAATCTGTGTCTACACCAGACCAATCCTAGCCAGAGATTTGTTCTTCCTTTTATTGAACATGCAATTCAGGGTGATAAACTGTATATATATATAATATATATATATATACACATATATATACCCATATATATATATATAATTTAAGAGTAATACATGTTCAGAAGAGCAATGTTGCAAAACGTAATTTAGCAAAAAGAGCAAAACTAAACACACTCCTTAACTCTGCACAGATTACTGGTATTGATGCATCTGATTTTCTTCTAATATCTTTAGACTAATATTAGGAGTGTACTTAGTCTGTGTTTTTTACTTGAAGTAAAACACATGTCACACAGCTAAGCAGGTTCAACGTGAACAGCTCAGTAGCTTTTAGTGTGTTCATAATGTTGTGCAGCTGCTATGTCTGGCTAGTTCCAGAACTTTCTCATCACCCCAAAATACCCAGGAAGCTATTACTCCCCATTTCCCCCTACCCCCTAGCCCCCGGCAACCAACAATCACCTCTCTACTTCCATGGGTTTACTTCTTCTCAGTATTTTGTGTAAATGGGATCATACAGTATGTGACCTTTTGCGTCTGATATTTTTCACGTAGCATACACGTTCCAAGGTCTGTATTGGAGTACATATCTGTACCTCATTCCTTTTGGTGGCTGCATAATAGTCCATTGTGCCGATGTACCACATATGTTTATCCATCCATACCTGGCTGGACGTTTGGATTGTTTGTACTCTTTGGCTCTTGTGAATAGGGCTGAGATGACTATTCAGGTATGAGTGCTTGTTTTAGTACCTGATTTCAGTTCTTTTTGGGTGTATCCCTGGGAGTGGTATTGCTGGATCCTGTGGTAAGCCTGTGTTTAACTTTTTAACAGTTTTCCACAGAACCTGCACCATTTTACATTCCTACCAACAACACACAAGGGTTCCAATTTCTCTGTCTGTGCTAACACTTATTATTTTCCACCTCCTCAATTATGGCTCTCCTGGTGGGAGTAAAGTGGTATATCATTATGATTTTGATTTTGCATTTCTCTAATAACAAATGATACTGAGAATCTTTTCACATGCTTGTTGGCCATTTGTATAGCTTCTTTGGAGAAGTGTCTTTTGCCCGTTTTAAAAAAAAATTGTAATTATAGCCAAAAAACATACCACATCAAATTTACCATCTTAACCATTCTTTTAAGATTTTATTTATTGAGAGAGAGAAAGAAAGAACATGAGCTGGGGGAAGGGCAGAAGGAAAGGGAGAGAGAAAATCTCATGCAGACTCTGCACTGAGCACAGCTCAATCTCCCCCACTCGGAGATCATGACCTGAGCCAAAGTCAAGAGTTGGACACTTATCCGACTGAGCCACCCAGGTGCCCCCATCTTAACCATTTATAAGCATACAGTTTTTTGTTTATTTGTTTGTTTTTGCTTGCTTGTTTGTTTTTTTTTTTTAAAGATTTTACCTATCCACTTTAGAGAGAGAACGGGGAGAGGGGCAGAGGGAGAATAAGGGAGGGAGAGGAACAAGCAGATTCCACGCTGAATGCAGAGCCCCACACTGGGCTTGATCCCACGACCCAAGATCATGACCTGAGCTCATGACCCCCGCAGAAATCAAGAGCCGCCTCAACCGACTGAGCCACCCAGGCGCCCCTTAAGTGTGCAATTTAACAGTGCTTCTTTTCCTATTTTTTAATGAGGTTGGCTTTTTGCTGTTGAATTATAGTTGTTCTTTATATTGTGGATTTCAACCCTTTACCAGAAATTTGATTTGCAGATATTTTCTCCATTCCCGTGGTAGGTTGCCTTTCCATTCTGCTGATGGTATCTACTGATGCAAAAGTTTTTAATTGTGATAAAATACAACTTGTCTATTTTTTCTTTTGTTGCCTGTACTTGGGGTGGCATATCCAAGAAATCATTACTAAATTCCATGTCATGAAGATTTTAGATAATCTTTTCTTCTCAGAGTTTTATAGTCTTCTCAAAGACCTCTTATGTTGAGGTCTTTGACCTATTTGGGGTAATTTTTATAAATAGCGTGAGTTAGGGGTTCAGCTTCATGCTTTTTCATATAGATAGCCACTTGTCCCATGGCCATTTGTTAAAGAGATTATTCTTTCCCCCATTGTATGGCTGAGACTTTGTTGGAAATCATTTGGCCGTAGACGTATGGGTTTATTGCTAGACTCTATTCTGTTTTGATCACCGTAGCTTTGTAGTAAGTTTTGAAATAGGGATGTATCGAGTCACAGTCAAGGAGTTGAACTCCTACAAATATAATTCCAGTGGGAGGTAGAAATAGTTCCAAGCATCAAAGTGATCATTGATGAATATAATTTGTGCAGAGCAGGATTGCCCACTTTTACCTAATTTCTCTGGGTGCCAGCCCTCTGTTCCACTACAATGGAAAATTTCTTTTCTTGTAAAATTGGCTGAAATGTGCGTACCTTTTGTTGTATTTCTTTCCCTCAGTGCAGTGTCACTTGTGGACAAGGATACCAGCTAAGAGCAGTGAAATGCATCATTGGGACTTATATGTCCGTGGTAGATGACAATGACTGCAATGCAGCAACTAGACCAACTGATACCCAGGTAAGTCTCCTTTGTCCAGCTCAGTGCTTGGCTTTGGGCACTAAAATGCTAGAACTTCCCAGTGGTTCAGTCACATTTGAAGTCCTTTCATACGTAAGTATGTAGGTAGAGCAACCAGTTGATTAACTAAATTGTCCAGATGTACCTATTTGTCACATCTTGAATCTAATATTTTGATGTACCGATTTCATTTTTCTCTGGTTATTTGAAGTGTATGGAGTTTTGATTCTGATTTTTTTTATTGGGTAGCAAATGTTGATTGTTTGGTTTTGTTTTCTTGAACTCAGACTTTTTTTTAAATGATTTCAATGTCAGGCTTAGCAGATAGTGTCATATGATCGGGCAGCAGGGTGCTAAGGCTGGTCTGCACCAGCTCACAAGAGCTGATTGGTAAACTTTCAGGAATTTTGCAAGCTGGTTGCTAAATACAGGCATTATTAAAAATTGAAAATATAAACCTATGATTAAATAGATGGTATTTCAAACAAAGCTGATAAATACTCCAAACTTACTTATCACCTCTCAATGCTTTACTCCATTTTACTATTATCTGTGATCTTGAGGTGATTTACATTCACATATGTATCTGTAAGGTGGAAATACTAAATGATGGTGAGCTATTGCCCATCTCTTCGCAAGTCTGTGTTCATCAACATCATGTTGGTAGCTTGATATTGGCCGTGGTGAGAGTATTTAACACAACAGAAATCAGCAAATGCTATAATTCAGGGTTTAAATTATTTTTTTTTAGACTTAAGAAAGTGATGGAGAAAATGATAATAATGTAGATTACACATAATCTACATTATGCTTAAAAGAATCTCGAGTCCAGGGCTATCACATTGTAAATAACGCATAAAATTAAGGAAATATCCTTCCGGCCTTTGGAAATCATTGTCTGCTTTGGTGCTGGAGTCACTCATGTCATTGGTGGATGAATGGAGTTCTGACAAAAATCTTGACTGTTTACCTGTCACCTTAACTCTTCAACACAAAATATCAACTCTTGTTCATGTTATAACTGCACTTATTCAGCAATTACAACCATATTTGGCAACAAATTCAAGAATTCAACAAAAATCAGCAAAAGTATTCTGTGAGACTCAATTGTACGGAATTTAAAAGAAAGAATTGTATATATTATTGTTATATGTAAATTGTGTGCTATACATCCTTTATATTAGTAAAATTTATGATACACAGACAAACATCTATATGTATATATATATAGATATACATGTGCATGTAATGTGTGTGTGTGTGTGTGTGTATAAATACATTTCTACAAACACACACGTACACCTTTTTTCTCAAGAGAGCCTGTTGGCAATCACTACCAGCACCTTCCTCTTCATGGGCCTGGATTTTAGCATCATTTATGGAAGGAGACTATGTAAAGAGAAGACGTGGGTTTGTAAATCAGTTTTGCTGATTGCCAAAGACAGGATTTGAACCCTGACTATGCCCAGAGCTCGTGCTCTAGGGCCCTGTCTGGCCAATGTCCTGCTTCCATTCTGAGTACATTTCCACATGTGTTGTTAATGGATGAAGAGTGTCAAAAAGTAAATGAATACAGCATCGTTGTCCTTGTCATTAATCAATGATAAAACACCACTTGTGACTTGTGTCATCTTTTTTTTTTAAACGTTACTGAAATGTTCTAAACCACAAGCTAAATGTCTGTGAAATGTTAGCTATTACATCTAAACAGTCATGAGGTGAAGATTTAGCAACTCCCTTAGAGATTCAAAATACACCTTTCTCTCTAAATTGTTCCGTAATGTCTGATGGAGTATCGGGCAGCTCAAGCAGTTGAAGCATATGGACAATTTCTTCACTATGGGAAAAGTTTCATGTGGTTTTCTTTGGACCATAGGCAGAAGAATAGGCAGGGTCTGGAGCCAAGTAATAGAATTTCCCTGTTCAGTTTGTAAGCCCCCTGTCGGGCTCAGCACGGAGCTCACCACACTTTGCACCATGCCTGGCACATCTCAGGCATTTGACGGATATGTATTTAATCAAAGAATATTTGCTAAGTTGTGAGCAAGTATGCATTTCTGTTTTCCCATCTATAAATCTGAAAATGTTATCTACACACAGATAACCTCAATTTACTTACAGGGATTTCCTCTGAGTGATGAGGAGGGTTATATACATTCCAGGCATTGGCATATCAAATACACCTCTTAGATCTAGATTTGACCATCGGCACCATGGGAGTTCTCCTTAGGTAAACTTGGAACACCAGTTCATGATTAACAAATTCTGATTAGGAAATTAATTGAAATGTGAGAACAGAATTTGGTCTTCAGAGTTTTTAAAAATTGACAGTTGATCATTTAAAAAAGATACCCTGTTCCTTCCCAACTTATGTGCCATTTTACAATATTTTTTTCTCTTCCCACATGAACAGGCAAATAACTATGGTATTAAACATCATTCAGGAAAGCCCTGCCCTATATCAGTGCACTCACAGAGGGACTCAGATTATACCCCATTTTATCGGTGAAAGCATTGGGGCTGACAGTTGACATGTGATTTGCCCAGAATCACACAGAAATCTGAGGTCTTGGAATTTTTAGCGCTAAAATTGTTATTCGCCCTGCCCATTAAAGTGTGCATGGACTTGACTTCAAAGTAACTGTGGCTTTTCTCCCCCTTCTCCCATCTAGGACTGCGATTTACCATCTTGTCACCCCCCCGCAGCTGTCCCGGAAGCAAGGAGAAGCACACACAGTGCGCCAAGAACCCAGTGGCGATTCGGGTCTTGGACACCAGTAAGAAATAGATGGAAGACATAGAGAGGGTGGAAGGGGAGGCAGGGGTTCTCTGACATGACTGTAGAAAGTGGGTTACTGTCCAGTGAATCATTGTTTCAAAATAACACGCCTGCATTATTTCACTTCAACACCCAGTGCTCAGCCACCTGTGGAAAAGGTACTCGGATGAGATATGTCAGCTGCCGGGATGAGGGCGGCTCTGTGGCTGACGAGAGCGCCTGTGTCACCCTGCCCAGACCAGTGGCAAAGGAAGAATGTTCTGTGACCCCCTGTGGGCAGTGGAAGGCTTTGGACTGGAGCCCCGTAAGCGAGTGGATTCTTTGGAATTGGGAAATGACGGGGGGGACCATAGGAGGATGACTAGTGACAGGTCCCAAATGTCAATGGGTACTATTTTACAATGGGTATTATTAAATCACTTAGTCTGTGATTTAAATTATTTAACCCCATATATGTACAGCTGGGATGAATCTTAACCAGATGTGCAAGAAATGGATGTTGTTAAAATGTGTAAATCAGTGTGCAGTGTCCTTTGCCCCATCCTGTTGGATTGACTGGAAAACCTTGTGTGAACTGAGTCACACAAGAATGGAATAGGCTGGGCAGAGCACCAAATGTGCCAGGGAGAAGAGGAGAGAAAGGAGAGGGCCTCTTACCTGGAGTCTGGATGCCTCCTATCACCTCAGTCTCTTGAAGTCCAGTGGCTCTGGCTTCCCTGTCCAGAGTGGGAAGGTAGAAAGATCTTTCTTGGAACACCTGGGTGGCTCAGTCAGTTAAGCGTCTAACTCTTGATTTCCACTCAGGTCATGATCTCAGGGTCATGGCGTGGAGCCCTGAGTGGGGCTCTGCACTCAGCGTGGGGTCTGCTTGCCCCTCTCCTTCTGCTCCTCTTCATGCTCCAGCTCGTGCTCTCTCTCTCAAATAAATAAATAAAATCTTAAAAAAAAAAAAAAAACAGAAAAAAGAAAAACCGTTGTCTTCAGGCAGTCCCTGCTTTCTGCCTTGCAAAAATCCCAGAGCCCAGGAAATACAAAGCTTAGGATAGGTGAAAAGAGGCCATAAGGAAAATAGAGAATTAATATCTCAATAAATATCATAACATATGTATGAAGTTGGAGCAGTAGATTCAAAGAAAGCCTTGTAAAAATCCAGATCTTGACATTTACTGGCTGCATGACCTTGAGCAGTCTGGCTAGTCTTTGAGCCTCAGTTTCTCCTCTTAAAAGACCAAAGAAGAATACCTACCTTACAAAATTGTTGTAAGTATTATTTGAGGTTACTTATGCTAAATGCTTAGTACAAAGTAGGTGCTCAATAAATGGTAGATAATCTCACTCTCATGCCTTGAGCTTTCAGTCTGTCTATCCATCCATCCATCCGTCCATCCATCCATTAAATACATCTGTCTGTGCCCCAGATATTTGTAAACGCTTAGTACAGAAAAAGCAGCGAACAGCAAATAATAAAGCCCCAGCCTTCGTGGAGATCATTCCGATGGAGGTTCCAATCAATGAGCAAATAAAGAAATAGATATATATATAGCAACAAACACTGACAAGTACTAGAAAAATGTCAGGCAGAATAAGGGCATAAGGAAAGATGGGATGTGCTTTTAGACAAGGTGGTCAAAGAAGGCCTAACAGCACATTGAGCAAGACTTGAATAAAGTGAGGGAGTGAGTCCAGTGGACATCTATGTTGTACAGGAAAAGGTAGAGCAGGTGCGAAGATCCTGAGTAGGGAGTTCTTGGCATGTTCAAGAAACATCCCTAAGCCCAGTTTAGCTGGAGTGCAGTGAGTGGAGAATGACGGGAGATGGGTCAAGGAGGTAGCCAGTGGCCATGCAGAGGGCCTTCCAGGCCAAGATGACTTTGGACATTATTCAAAGTGAATTGGGAAGTCACTGGAGAGAATGGCCTGACCTTTGATTTGCAGGGGTCATGGTTTGTGATATGTTAACAGACTTGGGCTGGGGTGGAGGGTGTCCAGACTGTAAGCAGCATCCCGGCCGAAGAAACCATTGCTGTAGTCCCGGCTGGGGCCGGGTGACCGTGGAGATGATGGGAAGTGGCTGGATTGGGGGTGGAAAGTGACTCCTGAGCTGACAGGGTTTCTCAATGAAATGGCTGCAGGGTGGAAAGACAGGGAGCAAACAAGGATGATGCCAAGGTTTGGGGCCTGAGCAGTGGGGTGAGCAGAGGGCCATTCACAGAAAATGCACACGGCTGGATATGTGACTGCCAGTGACCAATTCTTTCTCTTTCTGGATGTTCAACATAGTGCTCCGTGACGTGTGGGCAAGGCAGGGCCACCCGGCAAGTGGTATGTGTCAACTACAATGACCACGTGATTGATCAGAGTGAGTGTGACCCAGATTACATCCCAGAAACCGACCAGGACTGTTCCATGTCACCGTGCCCTCAGCGGACCCCAGAGAGTGGTCTCGCTCAGCACCCCTTCCAAAGTGAGGATTACCGCCCCCGGAGCGCCGGCCCCAGCCGCACCCATGTGCTTGGTGGAAACCAGTGGAGGACTGGCCCCTGGGGAGCAGTGAGTATTCCCTGAAGGCTTTCTCTACTTTGCTTTCTTCTCTTTCACACTTTCAGCTTTGGGAGGCAAACAGATTAGAAACACCTCTGAAGCCTTTTTTCTCACAAGGGATTGGCATTGTACATTTTCATCTGTTTTGGGTGAACCATAATGGATTCATTTCAGTCCCTGAAAAGTGTCTCCCGATAGTGTCTGCAGGAACCTATAAACTACCCTACCTGGGTAGAGGGGGGCGTGTCACAGGTGGGCCACAAGATCACGTGGCTCCTAGGTGGTGCTGGGAAGACCATGATGACGTGATGATGAATCCCAGAGGCTGGGGCCGCAGGCAGCTCCTACCTGAAGGAAATTAAAAGCACAGAGGAAGTTTTCTGAAAGGGAGCTCTTAGGAAAGTCATTTTCCTTCTTGCTATTTTCCAGATGAGCAGAGTCTCAAAGTGGCATGGTCGCTGTGTAATTTATAGTAGTAGATTGTCCTGGACTGGGGACCCACACTAGTCTAGATAATTCTGTGCCGGGGGAGAAATATCATAACCTGATGACTGACAGCACAGCCACTGAGTGAAGATGCCTCTGTTTGAGCCAAAGACTTGCATTTTCAAATTTTGAGGTCTTTAGTGGGTCCCCTATTCTCCACAGGCCTGAGGTTCATCACCTGTAAAACAAAGTAAACAATAATTCCAGCTTTTCTGGATCGTAGTAAATGTGATTTGCACACTGCCCGCCCCAGAGTGAGAACTTTCTCATTATTCTCATCATTGTCCTTCACATTAGGAAGACCTTGAAAGACATTTAATAGTCACAGGGAAAATATGCTTTGAATCTTTTTGGGTTTTTTTACTGAATAATTTCCCCAAAATCATTATATTGTGGACTAGTGGAGGTGTCTAATGGAACTGCAGGTGGGGTAAGGTAGCAAGGGATCCTACCTAGGTGTGGGGAATTAGAAGGTGTCTAGTAATCACTCCGGGGTCTTCATTTTAATTGTTTACTATTAGTTTCCTTCTTGTACCACTAATTGTGTTTAATTATTTCTGAACTAAAAAGCATTAGAAGGAAACTGTCTGCTTCCCACCGTGGTTATGTTTCAGTAAATGAGATTCCCTATCCTGTGAATACTGATTAGCCACCAGGCATTTTTCACCCACTACGAGCGAGTATTGGTTGTATGCCGAACGTCTGCCCCATTGCCCAGGAGCTTCGCTTTCATTCTCCTTGCTCGCTCTCCACGTTAAGGCTTCCTTTGCCTGGGTTAAAAGAGATTTGGGTTCGGAGAAGTTAGAGGGTGATCAAGGGAGGTAATCACTGAGTGTCCCACAATTTTTCTGGTTGAAAAATTTCCAAACTCACATGCATATTCTAATGATAGCACTAGAGCTCTTTTAAAAAAATTTTAAAGCTATTCTTACTTAGGACTACATTCAGAGATGATGCATTCTTTTAAAATTGAATGATTCTGCCCTTGGGCAGTGTTCCCAATTAGGGAGGATTAAGTAACCTTTTTGCAGCAATGGGCAATACCATTCTTTGCCTCATTGTGCCTGTTTTTTGTTTAGGGATTTTTTTTTTTTCTAAGATAAGTGAGGCTGAAGATGGACAGTGTGATTTTTTTCGGCTCTAGCTTGATGTGCCTGACCTGCTCCCAGGAGTGTGTGGAATGTACGTGCATCTTTGCTTGGTGCAGTACACAAACTGTGTGATTCTTCCTGTTTTCCATGGCAGGAAAGGTGTCAAAGAATCATGAACACTGGAGGATGGGAATCTAATGTTTTCAGTGGATTCTGGCATAAAAACCTCATTTTATAGTACATTTCTGCATAAACTTGAACCCTGTGTGAGGTTTTCCCCCTTGTTACCAATCAGGAGTCTCTGGTTGTGAACAAAAGAAAAGCAGCTGACTCTTTCAAGTGAAAATAAAACAAACAAAACTTTTCATTTGGCCCCAGTAGAGACAGAGGGCAGAGCATCTTCAGTGTGTGCTAGAGCTAGAGCTAGAGCTCAGCAGTTGGCAAATCTTTTTTGTAAAGGACCAGATAATAAGTATTTTCTGTGATGTGGATCATATAGTCTCTGTCACAACTAACCAGCTCTGCTGTTATAGCACAAAAGCAGGTGTCGACAATACATAAATGAGTGAGCATGGCTACGTTCCAATAAAACTTTATTTGTAAAACAGGTAGTGGGTCATATTTGGCCTTCATGCTGTGTCTTGTCAACCCCTCTCTAGATGGAGCAGAAATTAGAGGATAATTTCTGTAGGGAGTTTCTATCTTAATAAATCCCTTTTAACTCTCATCTACCCTGCTCAGGATTCAAATTCTCAGGAGAGTCCCAGAGACCCAGCTTGTTCTACCTGCCCACTCATTGACCAGGAATGGGCAGTGTATTTTATTTTTTTTATTTTATCATGTTATGTTAGTCAACATAGAGTACATCATTAGTTTTTGATGTAGTCCCACAAGATGACATCCACTGGGGAAGAAATGGTTCTTTTAAGGAGAATTGGGCTTCCAGATATGAGGGGAAGTATGCTAGGCAGGTAAGAAAAGCAGATGTCCCTCACCTCTTGCTCCTGCAAAGACCATTCTTTCTTATTTTGGCCAGTGTGGATGATGGGTGCAGGTTTTATTCAAATAAAGGTTTACCTAGGGAAATATGTCATCTTAAAAGGACAGGAAGATTGCAGCAGGGCGCCTGGGTGACTCAGTCGGTTAAGCGTCTGACTCTTGGTTTTGGCTCAGGTCATGATCTCTCGGTGGTGGGATCGAGCCCCACGTCGGGCTCTGTGCTCAGTGCAGAGTCTGCTTCAGACTCTGTCTCCTTCCCCCTCACTCTCTCCCTCTCTCTCAAATAAATAAATAAAATCTTTAAAAAAAATGACAGGCAGATTACTAACAAAAGAGGTCAAGAGTGAAATTCTGTGACATGGAATAGAACTAAGAATCCCTATTAACTAAAAAAAAAAAAAAAGGCCAAATTGAACCTGAAAAAAATTATGTACAACACTTTATTTATCTATGGGATTATAAAGACCCAAACAGGCCCTGGGTTCAGATAGTTCAAGACTGTGCAGTGTACTTGCTTGGCCCCAGCTAAGCACTCCATAGTTCTCTTTGGTCGGATTTTCAATAGGAACCATCTGATTGGTTACTGGGTAGCCAATGGATTGGTTGGCCTTAGATCAGGTGACCAGCCCTGCTCTAGTCAGCCATATTTAAGGGAGGGTAGCATGTGGTTCATAGAGGTGGTGTTTCCACTAACTTTAATTGGACAGGCAGTGGTGTACATATCCTGTGACTGGTGTCATGGCAGCTAACAGAAACACAAGTTATGACATTGAACCCTCCTTCAAAGAGCTTGCCATTTCATTGAGGCAGTAATGCTCATAGGTGACATAGTAAAAGAATGATACAAGATTGTATTATGAAGGGAAAAATTCAAGGGCCAAAATGTATATTACAGATGTACTTACAGTATGGAAGTTCCTTCCTAACATTATAAATTCTGGTCCCCAAAGTCAATTAAAATAATGATTCTGTGCTTTCTATGATGTCCTAAGCTGTTTAAAAACAGAAAACAAGTATGTTCAAGTTTAGAGTCATAATATCAGAATCCTCAGAGAATAGTGATGGAATTTTTTATAAATCAGAAATTTCCTAAATATTTTCTCAGAGAGAAGTCATAAATCTGTTTTCCTGTTCAACATTTTAAAATTACATCCAATGTATTTTATAGTGACACATAATTTGTCCAGTAGAGGCAGAGAAATTGAACTTGGGTCCAATGCAATAAGCCCAAAAACACATTCACAGCTTTATTTGGAAGAAGCTGAACAGTGAGAAGCATTGTTTGCAGGTATTTTGAAGTAACCCAGGTTTGAGCTAGGGTTTGATAGAAAGCACAAATCTGCCATCAGAACCCAGAACTAAAAAAAAATGTTGCCAGTGCAGTTGGAGGCTTACTAAATAATTCATGGGAATTGCACTGCTTTGAGGACTAGTTGGGTTTTTTTATAGGCAAACTGATTTTACAAGTTAAGGGTCAGAGTGAAGGATACTAGCAAACACATTGGTTTTGAAAAGATAAGCTCATTGTGGAAAGAAAAAAACACTCAAGATGTAGATAAATAAGAGAACTATGAGAAGCTTGTGTGGGAAATTAGCTGAAATGCAAACATAATTCCGTGACAACCATGAGAGAGAAGAGTAGACAGAAAGTGCCCCTGAAGAGAGGCTTGTCAATATGGAATCCAATTAAGGTCCTTGTGGAAGTAAAAAAATAAATTAAAACACACATCTTGCTGCCATCGGCCACTAAAGTCGAGGCTACTGTGAAGAGAGAGAAAGGAACATTCCCTGCAAGGAAATGATGTCCAAGTGACATTCCATGATGCTTTGGATAATTGAATGAGTTAATATGGAAGCCCAATTTCAACAACTGGTGTGTCATTAAGCATGCAATTTGACCTCTGCATTGAAAGGGAAGTCAAATGTTGGATCTAAATAAGCACTTGGGATTTTGAAAAGGAAAGAGTCTCTCATAGACTATGGTGTCCATCAACAACACCTCTGTACTTCTCCGGGATACAGATGGGTTAAAGGAAGATAATAAATGGGACTGCTTTGGAAGTCACAAGACATTATCATTCCTGGGGCATCTTTTGAACGCCTACTGAGGTCCTAATGTGTGCAAAGGAGAAGCCCTGTTTCTGCTGCCTGGGTGTTTATAAGGCATGTCCAGTGAACAGCCCCACAAAAGGGAAATTCTTGTGCTTCCTTTCTGTCCATTGTCTGGACGACTTGAGAACGCATTCTGTCACATTTGTCTCTGACCTTCCAACCAGCTGCTTTTTGTGTCCCTAAACTGCAGATCGAGGTAGGGATTAACCTGTTGACTGATGTCTGATGTGTTCAGTGTTCCAGTACCTGTGCTGGTGGGTCCCAGCGGCGTGTGGTTGTGTGTCAGGATGAAAATGGATACACCGCAAATGACTGCGTGGAGAGAATAAAACCCGATGAGCAAAGAGCCTGTGAATCTGGCCCTTGTCCTCAATGGGCTTACGGCAACTGGGGAGAGGTGAGAGAGAGCCATCCATTTGTACGTCCTCCGGAAAAAACACAGAGTGATTTTGCTGACCAAACTGCTGCCGTTCATAGTTTAAGGATGAAGAACGAGTTCTAGTGAAAGCTTCTTGATTTGGGATTAACCAGGAGACCTGTCTTAATTCTGAACTATTTTAAGAGTGCATTTATTACCAATTAGAGTTTTTAAATACATAGGAGAGGAAAATTAGCAAAGCATGCAGATAAATGCTAGGTTAAATTATGGGTTAACCTCTGTTGATTAAAATATGGACACTTTTAAGGTAATGGGAAATATGTGTTAAATTGGTCCGTGACAGAGTTACCATCTTTTTTCATAGTTTTGGGGTGTTTGTGATGTACTCTTACTCCCATGGCATCTTTAAAATCCTTGATGAAACCAAATCCTAGTATTTCAAATCCTTGATGAAACCAGAATGAATAGGTGCTGTTATTCCCATCAGTGATGATGCATTTTAATGATGGAAGAGAATAATTAGCTGTATAATATCAAATAATAAAATTCTTCAGCTGTTACCTTTTAAGAGTGGCATCCTCTGACCAATGAGGGGCAGTAGAGTGTTGGGAGCAGACAAAACTGGATTCTACTCCCAGCCGTGACTCTCATAAGCTTTGTGGCCTTGGCAAATTATATAACCTTGCCAATATCTATAGCACCATCTATAAATGGGAATAATAATGGCACCAATTCATGACTAGTATATGAGATAGTGTGTCAAATACCTAGCACATGGTCTTCAATCAGAGTTAACTGCTATTAGAATAATGATAATCATTATCATTTCTACTATTACTGTTTATCGTTAGTATTATTATTATCAAATAGGGTTTTCAAGCCGCTCTTCTGTGTAGGGCTTAGATGCTTATTGTTTTGTGTGTAATTAACCAAGAATATGTCTCTCTACTCTTGAGTCCACAGGGAGAGCACATAGTCAGAGCTTTGTTGCATTGGTCTGTCTTGACTGTAAAATTTATAAAATAAAACGTGAGGATTAACATCTTGGAGACCCCAGTGCCAAGAGGGGAAAAAGACAAATGAGATGGGTGGGCACGTTAGTCCACACTCCTGGCTAACCGAAATCCCATGTCTACTTTCACATAACCTAGTAATCATAGGAAGTCATAACAGAGTGTTCTGTTGACTTTGCTTGACAGTACGTCATTCTGGAGGGCTTTGATGAAAGGCAGGAAGGGGGAGTCAGGCTTCAAGACTCATGTATTACGGGTTTCCCAAAACTCCTCACAGAGTTCTGTCCTGTGGGGCCTGTGATTAAGCTTCTGTAATTGGACCAAAGCCAGGAGAGTACACGCATTCACTGTGACGCTTGCTGTCAGCACAGACCAGATCATTCCAAATTCTGTGGGAGATCTGGCCTTGACACAGCAGGAGAGCCAAATGTCAGTGTTCCTGGATGTGAGCACAGCAGCACTCTCCAAGAAATACAACTTGTTCCTGCCTCAGAGGTTTGGGTCTAGCCAGAGTCAGAGCTTTATCCAACGTTCCCACCACGTTGTTTATTCATCCCCGGGAAAGTCATCATTATCCCAAGACTCAGAGAGAGCATAAAATATCATAACGTCATAAAGGTCTCTGGAGATTAGAGTCACAGAAGAGCCAAAAGTTGGTTACAGCTTCTTAGAAGTTGCCAGAAAATAAACCCAACTAAGTCATTATATCCTTTATTTGGTGTACTGGGTGGTGTACGGAATTTTATTTTTTTGAATTTTGGTTTCGTATCCATCAAAGAAACGGCTGCAGTCTTATCTAGTCACTTGCTATTGCATTGACCTTGATCAAGTTAATTAACTTCTTTTAAGCTCACTTGTCCCATTTGTAAAAACGGAGCACATAATTAGAGTCTCCTCTGATGAGAGACTGCCTGTAAAAGCAGGTAGAGGTACAGGTGATGAGGACACACTCAATAAACAGTGTCTACCATTAAGGTAGACTGTTCCAGTCTGTTGTATATAAATAGGTTGGTAATTTAGCTTGGGTCCACCTAGAGACTTCCCTTGCCCGATGCCGTGATAGAATTTGGTGAAGAAATGGTTCTTACGGGAAAGAAGATACAATTTGTCATTGGCTGTTCAGAGTGACTACAGCTTTGCTTTCTCTTCTTCCAGTGCACTAAGCTATGTGGTGGAGGCTTGCGGACAAGACTGGTGGTCTGTCAGCGGCCCAGCGGTGAACGGTTTCCAGATTTGAGCTGTGAAATCCTCGATAAGCCTCCCGATCGTGAGCAGTGTAACATACATGCTTGTCCTCAAGACGCTGCATGGAATACTGGCCCTTGGAGTTCGGTACGGCCCTATTAATGTTTGTTAACCAAACTATCTTAACTAACAGACCCAATTCCAGGGTATTCTGGGGCACTCCTCGGCGACACACAGTTGTCCTAATCACAAGGGCACCCCTGAAACTGGGCTGTGGTCTATGATTTCTTTCATACTGACACACAACAGAATTAATGTTTTGTGATTTTGCCAAAGTGACTTTACAGAAATACGTGTACCTCATATAGGCCTGGGGCCAATGTCAAGAAGTAGCTTCTGGTTTTTTTGTTGTTTGTTTTATTTTTTTTAGGAAAGCAAGACTGTCTATGTAGATATTTTAAAGAAATGAAATAAGTTTCTTGTAGTTATGAAGCTCCAAAGTGATTTCAGCAGACAACTCAATAGCAGACATTCTTTCCTTTCCTAAACTATGGGAGTTTTGACTTTTGGGGGAAGATACCTGCATATTGAGGCCAAAGCAATTTTTTCTCCTGTGACTATAATTTGCCTCTATGTGACTTGGGTACATACTCAACTCAGTGACCACAAAGGCTGTGCCCACAAAATAGACTGAAATCATTGTGAAAATGCAATAGACCAACAACACTGGACTCCATGACTTGGAGCCTTTCAAGGTATCCGAAATGTTCTCTCTCTTTCCCCAAGACACAAAGCCCGTCGCTTGAGACGATTTTTTTGCTTTGGTCCTAGGCTTCCCTTGCTATCTGCTTAGCTGACATCGCGAGACAGGTTTGCCACTGTAAATACTATGCAAACTTCTGGGGCAGCTCTTGGCAAACAGAAAGTCGGCTATGTCAAAACAGTACTTTCGCTAAGTTGTGTTGTAATCTGTGGAGCCGTTAGGGCTGGTTCATGTAAATAGAGTAAATGTTTCTGTAAATACATTAATTGCACTGAATCTGAATTTAGTAGTATATGAAGTCATATCTGCAAGCCTTTTTTATTCTATAGGGTTTGGAGGAAAAGTCCTAACCATTCCTGAAACCAGATAAAGAACAGATTAACTGAAGTGAAATGACTAATACCTGTTGATGCTTCTAAGAACCAAGGGTTTCAGGATCTGAGATTGTGTCTGCAGGTAGAACCTAGCTCTATAACCGTTGTACTTAGTCTTAAGTAGAAAGCTAGAGAAATGTAGAGTAGTATCATCTCTCCTGGTACTAGTTAGCTGGGCTGTCAGGCTTTCATTCAAGAGCTTAAGAAATGCCACTCGGAGTCAGATATATATTCACCCGAAACATTTTGTTTGCAGTACTGGCACCCTCCCAAAGTGAACATTGTGAAAAAGATCAGAAATGACCATGGAATGTCAGGAACATCCCCCAGCATTCCCTGCTTCCCTCAGTCACCTATGACAGATTATTTTTCATGAAATTGTCCCTCTTGAGCCCATGATATTTTTACCTTGTTCACTCAGCCAACAGCAACACCACATCAGAGTTGTGTCTCAGAAACTACTAGCCCTCTAAAAAGTTGTTTTTCTTTAATTTTGACCCAAAAATATCCCCTACCCTTCAGAGGGTGTGTGTGTGTGTGTGTGTGTGTGTGTGTGTGTGTGCACGTGTGTGTATAATCATAAAATATTATATACTGTATGCATATATGTGTATGTATACACATTATATACAATGTATAATGTATATTATATTTGTTTCCATAGCATTCTCATCCTTGAATGCTTTCTAAATACCACTCAAATTTTTTTACACAGGATCACCACCCTCTCCCACAGATGTTTTAAGAGCTTAAATGCTTAAATCTTAAAATATGACCTGCTAATTTAACTGAAAACATTAAGATTTTTATTGTAGTTGTTCTTCTTAGGCCTGCACACAGTTTTCTGAAACACACACAGAAAAAGAGAGGGAAAGAGATGCTAATGCCCTGTTATACACAGAAGAGAATACATGGATTTTGAAACTATTTTTGCCACCAATATGATTTTCATGCTTCCTTTGTAAAGCGATCGTTACTCGAGTATATATTTAAATGCCTCTGCAGTCTAGGAGCAAGGCCACCTGTGCAAGGCTTCTCATTGTGATTTTTAAAAAATGAAATCAAAAGCATTTTATTTAAGTAGATACATCTGTAATATATTACTTAAATACGTGTGTGAGGGCAGTCTTTCAGGTTCTTACTTGTAGGACTTTGATTTTACTTTTATGTTGATTTTCGTGGATGCTTTGGTACAATTTCTGAGCAATTCTAAATTTAAGCATACCTCAGTGAATCGTGTTAATAGCCATAAAGCCACTCCTATGGTGCTTCATCATTGTAACTGACAGTGAAATTAACAACAACAAAAAGTATACTTGAGGTGCTAACGCGTTGCTTTCTCTTGAAAGCCAACTCGATTTATTAGAGACCGAGGGTAGCAATTAGTCCTTCAGTAGGTTTTGCTTTCTCTCCCCAGATTTTCCCCCTACTAGAGATAGTGTTCAGAAGCAACTTGCTGCTGTGCGAATAGGCCTTTTCCAAGGTCAAAAGGGAGATGGCCTCATTCAACAATTGTTACGGTATTTAGGGTTTTTAGGTATTTAGATATTTAGGAAAGAAACCCACATCACCGTTAGCGCGGCTGCCAGAGTCTCTAAAATGAAGCTTAGGTGAACGTCAGGTTCAAGTGCCTGTTTTAGACCCTCAGTTCTGGCTCGTGTCCTTGCAGATTTAGAATCATGATGGTGAAAAACAGCCTCCAAAAATCCAGCCTTTTCTGTCCTATTTTGAATGTGTCCTTGCACTCTTACTTGGTAACGTGCTGATTTCAAAATAAGGTTCTTACCCTGATATGCCTTTCAGTCGGCTCCTGCAGTCAGGCCTGGGAGCGGAGTTCTGGGAGCAGACTGAGGAGGGAATGCCCATGTCCCATCACTAGAGAATACATTGGAAAGAGTGCTCTGTGCTGTCAAACCACAGCACAAAGCCGGTTAAAAATCCGCAACAGCAACAGTAAGCAGATCCATCGAGATAAGGAAAGTAACAGAGGTTGCAGGTGATATCACCTCTCCAAGCTGGTCCTGTAGCATTCCTTTCTGCCATGCCCCATGTACCTGCTTGCTGATCATCTTGGAGACCGTGGTTCTCCTTAGGAGAAACTGCTTGTTGGGGTTTTTCACGACAAACCTGAAAGTGTTCTCTGAGCCTTGCTTTAGGTGCTTTGGAATAATGCTTGTCGACCCAAATAATGAGAATTTATGAGCTCACGAAGGAACTGTGCTTTTGTTTCTGCCTGGCCAACTTATGAATTTGTGTCTACCTCATTTTCCATATTAAAGTTTGCAGCTTCCTTAGGTAGGAAGAGAAAATGTCTGACAACAGTATTTTATCACCTCACTGCATCTATCTCTAGCAAAAATAAAGACTGTAAATATCACTACCATACTTTCTGAATACAGTTTTGAGCAGCCAAGCCTAGTATTATCTGAATATTTTGAGCGGTACAGATTTCTATGTGTTTATATAATAAAGCATATTTATTTTTTCCATGTTATTTAATTTTATATACAATGTTTAAAAATCAGTGTTTATCAGCAAACTGTAAAGGCAAATAGGCTATGTGAATTAGAAATGCATGTGTATGTTTCTTTTGGTTTTAAAAGATACATTTTAATTTTGTAAATCCCCTCCAACCTGTACCGTCCCTCTCCCAAACCTGAGTGGCCAACCTGGGCAAGCTTTATGTAATTGGGTAGTTTAAAATGTGTATTTTAAAGGGATACTTAAAAAAAATTCTGAATTGGAAATGATGCTTAGGATATAAACAAAAATATACAAGGCTTAACATTTTGTTGGGTTTTTTTCTTTTCTAATACTGTTGTCCTGATTCACTGAGTCTCAACTATGAAATATGAATGCTCCATTTATTGAATTTGTAGATAATGATAAAACATAGCCAGAAGACAAAATGAATGATTAAAAGAAATGGTTCTAAATATGTAAGAAGAGCTAGGGACAGGAAAACACTAACCTAATGTGCACAAATTTGATCACACCTTATTCTTTGTGTTCAGATAACCATGAAAGACTTCAATGTTTGTCAGTTTTGTTATTTGTTCACCTGCAATACATTTCAGAAAGAATTTCTTATTAAAGAAAAATAAAATATGATCACATCAAACTTGGAAATTTTAAGAGAGCCTGCAGTTTTGAAGAAAGTGTACTTCATAAAGATGACCCCTGATGCCTATTGGTTCCATGTGCCCCTGTTGAGCCTCTATTTGACATGTGGTTTAGTATGGTAATTGAGGGTTGAAAGGACCAAAATCAGGGAGTCCTTATGTGAGTTTGAGGTTTATATAAGGTGTGAAATAAGATAACTTCTCCAAAGCAGATGACGATAGCTAACTTTTACAGAGTATTTACTACGTACCAAGCCAAGTTAAGCAAACACACATCATATTTAGCCCCCATGTTACCCCATGAGGGTGGTGCTTTTATGACTCCATTTGACTATGTGATCATCTACTGTAATAAAATGTCAGTGTCAGTATACTGACTGTATTAATCCTGCTTCATGTGATAGAAACAGCCATATTCAGAATGATTTTTTAAACTCCTGTTGATATTCAATAAAGGGTATACCTAAAACTCAGACTTCATCACCCTCAACATTATTTAGCTAATATTGATATTGTCTGTTTGACTCCAGCCACAGAAATTCCAAATTTATTTCTGTATTGGTAAATTCCCATAACCAGTGATTATAAACACTTCAAACAACTGGTTATGTTTTGGGAATGGCAAAACATTTGTTTCATTTTACTGTTATCACATTAGCCAGATTAGGAGGAGGATATAAAGATTTTGACCATAAGGAATGTCACATTAAATGCATATGCATTTTTTATAAACAAGAGATTTTTTTTTTTTTTTTACTAATGAAGACACATCTTAAATATACTGCTGGTGCCTTTTAAAAAAAGGAATAAGAAATACATTATTTGGCTCTATCAATATGGAGTATTAAAAATAAGACTGTTTTTTTTTTTTTAATCAAAACAAGCAAA